ATGGGTTACCTAGGGAGGTGGTGGAATCTCCATCCTTAATGGTTTTTAAGACCCAGCTTGAGAAAGCATTGATTGGGATGATTTAGTTGGGGTTGATCCTGCTTTGAGTGGGGGGGGGGGTGGACTAGATGATCTCCTGAGGTCTCTTCCAACCCTGATCTTCTATGATTCTATGCCAGTGATTTGTTTATAAAGTTAACACCATATAAAAACAATATAACCCATATTAAATGGATTAAAAACTGGCTGACCAATACATCTAAAAAATAATTTTAAATGGGGAATCATCACCATACTGGAGTGTTTCTAGTGGGGTCTCACAGGGTTCTGTTCTTGTCTCAATGCTATTCAATATCTTTATCAATGATCTGGAAAAAATATAAAATAATTACCGGTAAATTTTGCAGATGACAAAAAAAATGGTGCATTGGCAAATAATGACCAGTAATAATAAGGTCTGGATTTACAGTCTGGATTGCTTGTAAGGGGGGCTCATTTAGCAATATGTGTTTTAATGAATCTAAATGCCATGTAATATATTTATGAACAAAGAGTGTAGGTCATTCAAGATGGGATACAGTATCCTGGAATTCAGTGACCCTAAAAAGGAGTTTAGGGTCATGTTAGATAACCATCTGAATATGAGCTCTCTGTGCAATGCTGTAGCTGAAGAGGGCATGCAATCCTTGGATGCATAAGCGAGAAATATCAAGTAGTAGTAAGGAAGTTTGTATCACCTCTGTATGTGGCATTAGTGACACCACGACTGGAATACTGGGTCTTGTTCCAGTGTCCACACTTCAAAAAGGATGTTGAAAAATTGGAAAGGGTTGGAAAAAAGCAGTAAGAATATTTGAGATCGAGAAAACTTGCCTTATAATGTGAGACATTAGAAACTCAATCTATTTAGTTTAAGATTAAGTAAAAACTTGATCACAGTCTACAAATACCTATGTGAGGAAGAGATTTCTGATAGTAAATGGCTCTTTAATGTAGCAGAAAAAGGCAAAATGAAATCTAGTGGTTGGGGATGAAGCTAGTCAAATTCAGACTATAAGTGTGGTGCAGATTGTTAACAATGAGCATAATTAAGCATTGGAACAGTTTACCAGGAATGTGGTGGATTCTCCATCACTTGCAGTCTTTAAGATGGTCTGTCTTTCTCATAGGGTATGTCTACACTACGGAATAAGGTCGAATTTATAGAAGTCGTTTTTTTAGAAATCGGTTTTATATATTCGAGTGTATGTGTCCCCACAGAAAATGCTCTAAGTGCATTAAGTGCATTAACTCGGCGGAGTGCTTCCACAGTACTGAGGCTAGAGTCGACTTCCGGAGCGTTGCACTGTGGGTAGCTATCCCACAGTTCCCGCAGTCTCCGCTGCCCATTGGAATTCTGGGTTGAGATCCCAATGCCTGATGGGGCTAAAACATTGTCGCGGGTGGTTCTGGGTACATATCGTCAGGCCCCCGTTCCCTCCCTCCCTCCCTCCCTCCCTCCGTCCGTGAAAGCAAGGGCAGACAATCATTTCGCGCCTTTTTTCCTGAGTTACCTGTGCAGATGCCATACCATGGCAAGCATGGAGCCCGCTCAGGTAACCGTCACCCTATGTCTCCTGGGTGCTGGCAGACGCGGTATGGCATTGCTACACAGTAGCAGCAACCCCTTGCCTTGTGGCAGCAGATGGTACAGTACGACTGGTAGCCGTCATCGTCATGTTCGAGGTGCTCCTGGCCACGTCGGCTGGGAGCGCCTGGACAGACATGGGCGAAGGGACTAAATTTGGAGTGACTTGACCAGGTCATTCTCTTTAGTACTGCAGTCAGTCCTATTGAACCGTCTTATGGTGAGCAGGCAAGAGATGAGGATGGCTAGCAGTCGTATTGTACCATCTTCTGCCGGGCAGGCAACAGATGAGGATGGCTAGCAGTCGTACTGTACCATCTTCTGCCGAGCAGCCATGAGATGTGGATGGCATGCAGTCCTTCTGCACCGTCTGCTGCCAGCCAAAGATGTAAAAGATAGATGGAGTGGATCAAAACAAGAAATAGACCAGATTTGTTCTGTATTCATTTGCTTTCCCCCCTCCCCCGTCTAGGGGACTCATTCCTCTAGGTCACACTGCAGTCACTCACAGAGAAGGTGCAGTGAGGTAAATCTAGCCATGTATCAATCAGAGGCCAGACCAACCTCCTTGTTCCAATAAGAACAATAACTTAGGTGCACCATTTCTTATTGGAATCCTCTGTGAAGTCCTGCCTGAAATACTCCTTGATGTAAAGCCACCCCCTTTGTTGATTTTAACTCCCTGTAAGCCAACCCTGTAAGCCATGTCGTCAATCGCCCCGCCCTGCGTCAGAGCAACGGCAGACAATCGTGCATCTGAGTTGAGAGTGCTGTCCAGAGCAGTCACAATGGAGCACTCTGATGGGGCTAAAACATTGTCGCGGGTGGTTCTGGGTACATATTGTCAGGCCCCCGTTCCCTCCCTCCCTCTGTGAAAGCAAGGGCAGACAATCGTTTCGTGCCTTTTTTCCTGAGTTACCTGTGCAGACGCCATACCACGGCAAGCATGGAGCCCGCTCAGGTAACCGTCACCCTATGTCTCCTGGGTGCTGGCAGACGTGGTATGGCATTGCTACACAGTAGTATCAACCCATTGCCTTTTGGCAGCAGACAGTGCAATATGACTGGTAGCCATCCTCGTCGTGTCCGAGGTGCTCCTGGCCACGTAGTGTGGGAGCACCTGGGCAGACATGGGCACAGGGACTAAATTTGGAGTGACTTGATCAGGTCATTCTCTTTAGTCCTGCAGTCAGTCCTATTGAACCGTCTCATGGTGAGCAGGCAGGCGTTACGGATTGCTAGCAGTCGTATTGTACCATCTTCTGCCGGGCAGGCAAGAGATGAGGATGGCTAGCAGTCATATTGTACCATCTTCTGCCGGGCAGGCAACAGATGAGGATGGCTAGCAGTCGTACTGTACCATCGTCTGCCGAGCAGCCATGAGATGTGGATGGCATGCAGTCCTTCTGCACCGTCTGCTGCCAGCCAAAGATGTAAAAGATAGATGGAGTGGATCAAAACAAAAAATAGACCAGATTTGTTTTGTACTCATTTGCTTCTCCCCCTCCCCCATCTAGGGGACTCATTCCTCTAGGTCACACTGCAGTCACTCACAGAGAAGGTGCAGCGAGGTAAATCTAGCCATGTATCAATCAGAGGCCAGGCTAACCTCCTTGTTCCAATGAGAACAATAACTTTGGTGCACCATTTCTTATTGGAACCCTCCGTGAAGTCCTGCCTGAAATACTCCTTGATGTAAAGACACCCCCTTTGTTGATTTTAGCTCCTTGAAGCCAACCCTGTAAGCCGTGTCGTCAGTCGCCCCTCCCTCCATCAGAGCAACGGCAGACAATCATTCCGCGCCTTTTTTCAGTGCGGACGTCATACCAAGGCAAGCATGGAGGCCGCTCAGCTCACTTTGGCAATTAGGAGCACATTAAACACCACACGCATTATCCAGCAGTATATGCAGCACCAGAACCTGGCAAAGCGATGCCAGGCGAGGAGGCGACGTCAGCGCGGTCACGTGAGTGATCAGGACATGGACACAGATTTCTCTGAAAGCATGGGCCCTGCCAATGCATGCATCATGGTGCTAATGGGGCAGGTTCATGCTGTGGAACGCCGATTCTGGGCTCGGGAAACAAGCACAGACTGGTGGGACCGCATAGTGTTGCAGGTCTGGGACGATTCCCAGTAGCTGCGAAACTTTTGCATGCATAAGGGCACTTTCATGGAACTTTGTGACTTGCTTTCCCTTGTCCTGAGGCGCATGAATACCAAGATGAGAGCAGCCCTCACAGTTGAGAAGCGAGTGGCGATAGCCCTGTGGAAGCTTGCAATGCCAGACAGATACCGGTCAGTTGGGAATCAATTTGGAGTGGGCAAATCTACTGTGGGGGCTGCTGTGATGCAAGTAGCCCACGCAATCAAAGATCTGCTGATATCAAGGGTAGTGACCCTGGGAAATGTGCAGGTCATAGTGGATGGCTTTGCTGCAATGGGATTCCCTAACTGTGGTGGGGCCATAGACGGAACCCATATCCCTATCTTGGCACCGGAGCACCAAGCCGCCGAGTACATAAACCGCAAGGGGTACTTTTCAATAGTGCTGCAAGCTCTGGTGGATTCCAAGGGACGTTTCACCAACATTAACGTGGGATGGCCGGGAAAGGTACATGACGCTCGCATCTTCAGGAACTCTGGTCTGTTTCAAAAGCTGCAGGAAGGGACTTTATTCCCAGACCAGAAAATAACTGTTGGGGATGTTGAAATGCCTATATGTATCCTTGGGGACCCAGCCTACCCCTTAATGCCATGGCTCATGAAGCCGTACACAGGCAGCCTGGACAGTAGTCTGGAGCTGTTCAACTACAGGCTGAGCAAGTGCAGAATGGTGGTAAAATGTGCATTTGGACGTTTAAAGGCGCGCTGGTGCAGTTTACTGACTCTCTTAGACCTCAGCGAAACCAATATTCCCACTATTATTACTGCCTGCTGCGTGCTCCACAATATCTGTGAGAGTAAGGGGGAGACGTTTATGGCGGGGTGGGAGGTTGAGGCAAATCGCCTGGCTGCTGGTTACACACAGCCAGACACCAGGGCGGTTAGAAGAGCACAGGAGGGCGCGGTACGCATCAGAGAAGCTTTGAAAACCAGTTTCATGACTGGCCAGGCTACGGTGTGAAAGTTCTGTTTGTTTCTCCTTGATGAAACCCCCCGCCCCTTGGTTCACTCTACTTCCCTGTAAGCTAACCACCCTCCCCTCCTCCCTTCAATCACAGCTTGCAGAGGCAATAAAGTCATTGTTGCTTCACATTCATGCATTCTTTATTCATTCATCACACAAATAGGGGGATGACTACCAAGGTAGCCCAGGAGGGGTGGTGAAGGAGGGAAGGAAAATGTCACACAGCACTTTAAAAGTTTACAACTTTAAAATTTATTGAATGACAGCCTTCTTTTTTTTGGGCAATCCTCTGTGGTGGAGTGGCTGGTTGGCCGGAGGCCCCCCCACCGTGTTCTTGGGCGTCTGGGTGTGGAGGATATGGAACTTGGGGAGGAGGGCGGTTGGTTACAGAGGGGCTGCAGTGGCAGTCTGTGCTCCAGCTGCCTTTGCTGCAGCTCAACCATACACTGGAGCATACTGGTTTGGTCCTCCAGCAGCCTCAGCATTGAATCCTGCCTCCTCTCATCACGCTGCCGCCACATTTGAGCTTCAGCCCTGTCTTCAGCCCACCACTTACTCTCTTCAGCCCGCCACCTCTCCTCCTGGTCATTTTGTGCTTTCCTGCACTCTGACATTATTTGCCTCCACGCATTCGTCTGTTCTCTGTCAGTGTGGGAGGACAGCATGAGCTCGGAGAACATTTCATCGCGAGTGCGTTTTTTTTTCTTTCTAAGCTTCACTAGCCTCTGGGAAGGAGAAGATCCTGTGATCATTGAAACACATGCAGCTGGTGGAGAAAAAAAAAGGGACAGCGGTATTTAAAAAGACACATTTTATAAAACAGTGGCTACACTCTTTCAGGGTAAACCTTGCTGTTAACATTACATACATAGCACATGTGCTTTCATTACAAGGTCGCATTTTGCCTCCCCCCACTGCGTGGCTACCCCCTCAACCTTCCCCCTCCCTGTGGCTAACAGCGGGGAACATTTCTGTTTAGCCACAGGCAAACAGCCCAGCAGGAATGGGCTCCTCTGAGTGTCCCCTGAAGAAAAGCACTCTATTTCAACCAGGTGACCATGAATTATCTCTCACTCTCCTGAGGATAACACAGAGAGATAAAGAACGGATGTTGTTTGAACGCCAGCAAGCATACACTGCAATGCTTTGTTGTACAATGATTCCCGAGTACGTGTTATTGGCCTGGAGTGGTAAAGTGTCCTACCATGAAGGACACAATAAGGCTGCCCTCCCCAGAAACTTTTTGCAAAGGCTTTGGGAGTACATCCAGGAGAACCGCGAATGCCAGGGCAAAGTAATCCTTTCACATGCTTGCTTTTAAACCATGTATAGTATTTTAAAAGGTACACTCACCGGAGGTCCCTTCTCCGCCTGCTGGGTCTAGGAGGCAGCCTTGGGTGGGTTCGGGGGGTACTGGCTCCAGGTCCAGGGTGAGAAACAGTTCCTGGCTGTCGGGAAAACCGGTTTCTCCGCTTGCTTGCTGTGAGCTATCTACAACCTCCTCCTCCTCATCATCTTCTTCGTCCCCAAACCCTGCTTCCGTATTGCCTCCATCTCCATTGAAGGAGTCAAACAACATGGCTGGGGTAGTGGTGGCTGAACCCCCTAAAATGGCATGCAGCTCATCATAGAAGCGGCATGTTTGGGGCTCTGACCCGGAGCGGCCGTTCGCCTCTCTGGTTTTCTGGTAGGCTTGTCTCAGCTCCTTCAGTTTCACGCGGCACTGCTTCGGGTCCCTGTTATAGCCTCTGTCCTTCATGCCCTGGGAGATTTTGACAAAGGTTTTCGCATTTCAAAAACTGGAACGGAGTTCTGATAGCACGGATTCCTCTCCCCAAACAGCGATCAGATCCCGTACCTGCTGTTCGGTCCATGCTGGAGCTCTTTTGAGATTCTGGGACTCCATCATAGTCACCTCTGCTGATGAGCTCTGCATGGTCACCTGCAGCTTGCCACGCTGGCCAAACAGGAAATGAGATTCAAAAGTTTGCGGTTCTTTTCCGTCTACCTGGCCAGTGCATCTGAGTTGAGAGTGCTGTCCAGAGCGGTCACAATGGAGCACTCTGGGATAGCTCCCGGAGGCCAATACCATCGAATTGTGTCCACAGTACCCCAAATTCGAGCCGGCAAGGCCGATTTAAGCGCTAATCCACTTGTCAGGGGTGAAGTAAGGAAATCGATTTTAAGAGCCCTTTAAGTCGAAATAAAGGGCTTCATCATGTGGACGGGTGCAGGTTTACATCGATTTAATGCTGCTAAATTCGACCTAAAGTCCTAGTGTAGACCAGGGCATAGAGTCATAGAATCATAGAATATCAGGGTTGGAAGGAACCTCAGGAGGTCATCTAGTCCAACCACCTGCTCAAAGCTGGACCGATCCCCAATTAAATCATCCCAGCCAGGGCTTTGTCAAGCCTGACCTTAAAAACTTCTAAGGAAGGAGAATCCACCACCTCCCTAGGTAACGCATTCCACTGTTTCACCACCCTCCTAGTGAAAAAGTTTTTCCTAATATCCAACCTAAATCTCCCCCACTGCAACTTGAGACCATTACTCTTTGTTCTGTCATCTGCTACCACTGAGAAAAGTCTAGAGCCATCCTCTTTGGAACCCCCTTTCAGGTAGTTGAAAGCAGCTATGAAATCCCCCCTCATTCTTCTCTTCCGTAGACTAAACAATCCCAGTTCCCTCAGCCTCTCCTCATAAGTCATGTGTTCCTGACCCCTAATCATTTTTGTTGCCCTCCGCTGGACTCTTTCCAATTTTTCCAGATCCTTCTTGTAGTGTGGGGCCCAAAACTGGACACAGTACTCCAGATGAGGCCTCACCGGCGTCAAATAGAGGGGAATTATCACGTCCCTTGATCTGCTGGCAATGCCCCTACTTATACATCCCAAAATGCCATTGGCCTTCTTGACAACAAGGGCACACTGTTGACGCGTATCCAGCTTCTCGTCCACTAAAAGATGCTTGAGCTCAAACAGCAGCAGATGCAGAAATTATTGGATGATCTACTGACTTGTGTTATGCAGGAGGTCGGACTAGATGATCATAATGGTCTCTTCTGCGCTTAAAATCTATGAAAGGTGCCAAACTGGCAGCCCTGGAGACTGACAGCCTTTATTTACCAGGACAACAGATAAAATATGAAAAGCAGCAGGGCAAGCTTTCCCACTACCATGCTTCAAATTCCTACTGCAGGGACCACCTCTACAGGAGAGATAGTGATTTATTATCAATGTCCATTTAGTCCTTGGCCACTCTATTGAGGTGTCACCTCATACAATGTGGTTTTATTTGTAAGAATCACTAGTTTTCACTAGGAATCAGACAGAGGACCAATTCATTTAGCTACCAGCTGGTAATGACTATTGGCTACTGCCAAACAGGGCTGGATATGAATCAGTGACCTAAAATGAAAGGCTCCATATTCCATTATCATGAAATGCAGTCCTCTCACTAGCCACCCACACACCTTCATGAGCAATGGAAAAGGTCCTTCTCCTCCCGGCAGGAAATTTTAACCTTATCTTCTAGCTGACCTTTCTCCACAGGACTGCTCTGAGATCAATGCTAGTAGCTCTTCAATCCCAGTTTCAGTTTCTGTTGTGTGCCACTTTCCCCATTCTGGTTCCCAGCCTGAGGGAGGCAACAGGAAGTGGTAGAAGGGAGAGGCAAGTTATGATGAGAGAGTGCAGGTTATAGAATTGGGGAGGTACCCGCAAGAGGGTAAGCTCTCTCAGAAGTCCCAGTCTCAGGCCTGCAGTTAGGTTTCCTTCCTGCCACAACATCCCCTTCAAAGTTATCGTCCAACCTCTAGGTATTAACCAGTTGTTCAGTGGTACTGATCTTAATGTTAGTTAGTGTACAGTGTTAAAGCATTGAATTGGGCTGGGCTGAGAGCTAACATACAAAGGTCCTGAGCAACAGGACATGTCGGAAATGCAATAAGTGTCTCTACCTATGCAAGTACTTATAAGGCCCTCATTACTGTGGTATATGCATACCCGCCACCCGCACCCACACACATAAAAGAGTGCCCATGACCTTAGCAAATATTTCCTTAGCAAATATTACCAGGATAACAGAAAATCACTTTTGAAGATTTCAGTTTATTAGAGGAACCTGTAGTGTCGCTCATGGTAGAGATGAGATGAGACTCATTTGTCCCATAATTAATACAGAGGGTCTTGTTTACTCGGAGTATGGACAGACCATAGTTCTTTCTGGCTCTTATTAGTTTCCTGACTTATAAAACACAACCTATGCTGCCTAGTGTCACACCCCAAATCCTTCAGCAGAAGTCCTGGCCTGGACTCAGCAGTCATGGAAGAAAGAGTTGACTACACTGCAGAACCACAATCATAAGCTTACTGTAGCGTCCCTTTTTTGAAAAATTTACAGAAAGCTCTCTGAATTATTTACTATATGTCATAGATTTGATTAAGAATTTCCCTAGCAGGCAGTCATATAACTTTTACTGAGCCTACAGAAACAGGGCTTATTGGGAATCAGCTTTTGCTGAACACTGACTTTGTGAGAAATATGTATTGAATCTTTTCTATAATTAAGTGTCCTCTACATATTACTTTTAAAGAAACACCTAATGAGGCATTGGGTATCTTCAGGATTTCATTGCCTTCCAAGACTGCTGTTATATGAGCTTTTTCATTTTCATTACTGGATTCACTCTGTATCGTAAACCTGAAAAGCCTGAGAAAAAGCTTGTTAGCAAATGTTTTATGGCAGCCCAACTGTATTTTGTGGTTTTGCTAGGTAGAGGGGGCACTGGCCACTGTGTTAATGCTTCCCCATAGCTGTGTGACAGCCGAATAGATAACATGACTTTTTTTTTTTTATTATGGCACTTTTAAAATAATAGCTAAAAAGCCAAATCTCATCTCTGGCTAGTGAAAAAAACAAGCTGCTGCATCAGCTGGTTTTATTTCAAAATCAGGCCAAACATGAACGATCCTAAGAAAACATCCCTTTAATACTAAGTCAGGGTTTGATGACGCTAATACATGAAGAAGAGCTAGCAAGCTGAAAAATCTGCAGCTTTATCTATGAAGAAACCAGCAGCAGGATAACAAACTTTGCCCGCAGAAGTGTACAAACACTATATCGTCATAATCACCAGAAGCTACATTGTATAAAGACATATAAGAGCCTAAGGCTGAAAGCAGAGTTGTAGCAAACGATGTGTACATAGGTATAAGGTCCTGCATCCAATGCATCTTCCAAAGAAGACTGCAAAAGTCTATATGGAACCATTCTGTATTCCAGAATGTGCCCATCATCATTAGACTGAAAGGGTGAAATTCACCCCATACAGACAGATAGAAGGAGGCTTATGAGACAATTAAAAATCTCACTTAATAGGCTTTGTGTTGGCTTTCCACACAGGAATACATTTTACACAGAGTGTATGTCAACCAAGTTTGTCACAACCTACCAGCTAATCATACCTATGGGGGAGTTCAGGACACAGATATGGTTGAACATTTTTACGTCGTCCTTTCGTCTGTGTTTCAAGCAATGTGTATTTCTGCCCAGTTACCAGCGACTAGGATCAACCTAAATTTGTAAGGCTGTTTTGTAACTTCTTGGACTGTTCCCCAATGGTGAGATATCTGGGCTGAAATTTTGGCACCATTGAAATCAGTGATAAAACTCCCACTGATTTCATTGGAGCCAGAATTTCACCTCAAGGAGTTGCCCTCTATTCCATGTAATGATTCTCATTGTACCATGGTGTTCCGTTCTTGGGAGTCTATGTCATTCAATACTTAGCTTAAAATAAGATCTTGCTTGTGCCTTCTTTTGTTGGATGAGAGGAAATGGGATACTTGAACTACTGAATAAAGCTGAATTTGGATTTCAGATTATAGTGTTGCCCTGTGGTTTACCAGGGCAGGAGTAATGCGACATGTTAGCACTGGAACAATTTCAGTGTATGTGTCAAGTGGGAGGCTGTTAAAACTAAGTACACCACACCTCTTCAATACCTCCTATATATCCTTCCTCTGCTGCCACAGCTAAGCGTGACTCCTGTCCATCTTCAGTTTTATGAGTGGAAAGTGTACTTTCTGCTATCTGTGGTGTCCCATTTGTTTTCTCTTGTTATAGGATGTCTTGGGGCTATGCCTCTTTATAGTCTCAGGAATGACAGTCGTCAGCAGCCACCATGAGCTGGTAGAGTTAAGTGCAGTAAAGTAAAAGGTTTAATTCCCTAAAAGAAGCTTAATTATGCAGTTGGAGAGAATAGGGTGCTAAGGGGGGAAAAAAAAACACATTTGACACTCTGAGTGACAGAGAAGAGAAATTACAATACACAAGAGGCTTTTTTTTTTTAGCAAAGCAACATTTTAAAATTAAACCAGTTAATGAGAATGTCAAAGTTATTGTTCTGTATGTATGAGTACCCAAACACAATTCATGTGCAAAAGTCATAGCTGTCAATCAGTGTGACTAAAACACTAACAAATATCATGTCTAATCTTTATGCACTACAGCTAGGTCAAGAGTTTGGGCACAAATTGATGGTTTGGCAAGTGCTGGATTTCCAGCCCACAACTGATGTCTTAATTCCTCATGCAGACTATGTCTGAAAAATAATTAATTTTCAGTGTGTCAGCTCTTACCAAAGCTACCAGGGATTCTGGGAATGGAGGAAAAACAGAGA